TCAATTTTATTTAATAAATTATTATTCTTTTATTACAAATTTTATAAAGTATATTTATCAAAATCTTATTCATGTAATTTTCTATCGTTTAAACTCAATGTTAAAGATGAAATTTAATTCAATTATAAATTAATACTAGAATTTTCTAATGACTAACTTTGATAAATAAAATCAATATCTTAATGTTTTAAATCATCACTTTTAAAGTTCATATTTACGTTTTCTTTAGAGTTAAAATAATCTTAATGTAATCTTATTTAAATATAAAAAATAATATATATATATATAAAAGTAAATAAAAATAACAATTTATATATTAAAAATTATTAATATATAAATTATAATATTTTTTTATATATATTCATTAATTAATTTTTAGTTTAAAAATTATATTTATATAAATAAAAATATTTATACTATTATTTAGCTTTTAAATCGTTTTCAAATTAAATTATATATTAGTAAAATTAATGCAATATTATCTAAATCTATTAAATTATTTAGTACTTTTAAATATTTATTTTTTAAAAAGATATATATATTATAAATAAATAAATATATATATATATATATATATATATATATATATATATATATATATATATATATTTTATTATAGGTTCCTATCTTATTTTATTATATTCATTTTTAATTTTATTTATTATATTTTCTTAGTTTTATAAATTATTTTTTTAAAATTATCTTTAATTATATAAAAAAATAAATAATTTTTTTTTTTTTTAATATACTCAATTTCATTTTTAGTATCTTTTAAAGATAAATAAACCAATTCCGCTAATCTTGGAATATGCATATCAGAATCTATTAATTGTTCTTTATTTAAATTTTTAAGTGAATCTAAAATTTAATTTTTTTAATCATACAAATATTTATATATTTGATATTTTTATAGTTCGTTTTTAAATTAATTAATAGCTTTTCTTTTTTAATTAAAAAAAAAAAAATTAAATTTTTGTATTACAAGAATTTATTTTTATTTATTGAATTGTTAATGTTTATATCAATATTAGAATTTTTAGATTAAAAAGAATTATATGTGTTTTGTTAATTAAATGCATAAGAACTTGATGTATTCAATATAGATATATCTTCATTTTTTTAATTTAAAAAATATTTTTTAAACTATTTTGTATTATATTTCAATTCTTAAATCTAAATTTTATAATTTTAATTATTCATTATATATAAAAAAAAAACAAAATATAAATAGGAAAAAGAAATAAAAGAAAATATATTTATCTATATATTTATATGATTTATTAGTATATTATATAAATATTTATATATAAATATATATATATATATATCTATTTTTATATATATTTCTTAACATATATTAAATATACTTTTTTATGAGATTGCTATAAGTATTTTATCAAAATACATTTATTTTCTGTGTTTTCAATGAATTTATTATATATGTTTCCATCTTAGAATGTTTTTTTAATTGACTTAATATATTTTTTAGATAATTATCTTACTTTGATAATTAATTTTTAAAAATAAGGAATTTTATATTTACATGTATTTCTATTTTTAAAAATTAAAATGAAAATTCGAAGTCATTTTAGTTATTATTAGCCTTATTTATGCAATCTTCTAAATTTTATGTTAAATTTATTAATCTATTTGGTATATTATTCCAAAAATCACGTTTTTTCATTTTCTATAAAAATATATATTTTTGTTCTATTTAATATATATAATTATAAATTATACATATATTATATAACAATAATTTTTTTTTTTTTTTTAATTATTTTATATAAAATATTTTTTAAAAAAATACAAATAAATAGATAAAATAAAAGAAATAATATAAAAATAAAAAAAATATATAAACAAATAATATTATAAAATTATATAGTATGTAATATTTTTATTTTACTTAATACAAAATAAATTTATAATTTTTAATTAAATAAACACATATAAAATTATACATATATATTTATTTATTTATATAAATAAATATTTATAACTAATCCTATTAAAAAAATTAAAAAAAATGAATAAAATTATAAATTTTTTGTAAAGTAAAGCTAAATTAAAAATAATCATTTAATTTTTAATCTTTGAGTTTATCCGAAAAAAATCATCATATATTTTCTGGTTGTTTTTAAAAAAATTATTTTATAAAAAATCTTAATAATAAATTCCTTTAAAAAATCCAACTTAAGAAAAATACTTAAAATTTAAATCTAAATATAATTCTAATACAAAATTAGTCCAAATATAATTAATTAAACAGGAAATTTTATATCATTTTAATATAGATAAACTAATATTAAATATATCATAATAAGATAGTCTAAAAGACCTTTTTTGTAGTGTACCTTTTTCTATTGTTATTTTATGTCTTTTTTAGGCCACTAATTTTTTAAAAGAATTGATTAAATTTAAATATTAGACTGCCTTTGAGAATGAATTTAAAGCCTTACATAATCCCAAAGAAATAAGTTCTTAAATTTTGAATGATTTTTTCGAATAGATGTAGATTACAGGCTGTAAAAATTTAAAGATATTTTTCAAATAGAAAATAATACCAAATTTAGATAATATAGACTTATATAATCTATATCCTTTGAATGATTTACTTAAAATTCTTGATGAATTTTTTAATAATTTACTTAATTTTAACTCTAATATTAATATTCCTTCAACTCATAAAATCAGGAATAGTTCTATGAATTTTCTGAATAAATCCTCTCGGAGAAAAATTGAAAATTGGTCCCAGTTTCACCCTTAAAATGCATCAAATGATTTAAAATTTACTGATTTTAATGAAATTGTGAATTGTTATGGAAACAGTAGTTAAGGAAATATAAATATTAATAATGGACTTTTTGCACATACATAAAAAATAGAATAAAATGTATAAAAACTAGATATTTTAAAGGTATTTTTAGGTGATATTCATGAAAATAAATTACTTACAGAATGTGAAGTTATAGAAAAACATATTGAAATTGCAGATTGTAATTGTAGAGAATAAAAATACTAACCACCTGATTTATAGTGTATTCCGGAGATTTTAGAAGATGATGGATATGAAAGTGATTAATCTTGTAGTAATTATAAGAATGAAGATGAGATTTTAGAAAAGGAGAAAATATTAAATAATAATAGTTTAAATAATATTATAAATGAAAGTATTATCAAAAGAAAAGAATTTAGAAAGTAAAATTTTAGTAGTTATTAGGATGAATTTTATGAAATTAGTGACGAAGAAGATGATGAGGGTTAAAATATTGAAAAAAAGAGATTTTCTAGTGATGGGAATATTAAACATACGGAAGATGAGAAAAAATTAATTAAAGAAAATATTGGAAGATTATCTTAGTTTTTATAAGGAATTTGTTTTTAGTGTTTGGATTTAGTATAGAGTTAGAATTTTTAGATTTATTTGTATTTTTTTATATTATTAGAATATAAGAAGATTAAGAATAGACTTAGAATTAAATAAAAAAAATACAATTAGTGCTTATAAGCAGTTGATTTTTTTGGAGTTTTCAAAAATATACTCTTTAAGTATTTTACTAATGATAATTGTCAAGAATAAAATCAAAAATTAAATTAGAAATTGTAAGGTTTGTATAAAAAAAATGAAAAGTTTGAATAATTTATTAATTATTAAAAAATTAAAGAAGAAGAATTTTTATTTAAAATTTTAGATGAAAGTCTTGATTAGTTTTGCTAAATTATTCTTAAAATTTGAAAAAAAAAAATTTTTTTTTTTTTTTTTTTTTTATGTATTTAAAAAAAATAATAATTTATATATTTTTTTTTTTTATTTTTTTTTTTGATAAAAATATAAAATTAATGAAATAATAATAATTATAGTAAAAAAATTAAAATTTAATATATAAACATATATGTATATAATATATATATATATATATATTTATATATATATATATATATATATATATATATATATATATATACATATATATATATTTTTTTTTTATATATTTATTTTTTATTAAAATTTTATTATATAATAGAAATAACAGTATATATAATATAAAAACTTTTTTTTTTTTCAAAAAATAAATAAAAATATTTATTATATATGATTTCTTATAGAACATTAACTAGATTAGCAAATTTATTTTTAAATATAGCCGAAGGAGAATAAAGAACAGAAGTTATTCGTTAAGTATTATCAGAATAGTGCTTTTTTGAACCACATACAGCATTTAGAAGAATAGATTAAAGTAAGAACAGTTACATAAGTGCGAATGATTTATTAAACTTTTTAGAATAAAATAAAATCATAGTTTCTCATAAAGAAGTTGTTTATTTATTACGAAATATAGATTTAAATGATGATGGAAGAGTTAAATATTCAGAGTTTAAATTATATATTTTTTAAATATATAAATATATATTTTAGTTTTGCTGAATTTATATTACCTCATGATGATTAGAGATTAAAATAAGTAGCAAATTTAAGAGATGAATATAATTTGAAAGAAGGACAAATTTACCTTATGAAGTTGAATGGTCTTTAGCAAGAGTTTTTGAATAAGAAATAAAAAATTAAAGATAAAGTGAAAATTTTAAAGATATTCTAATTAGTTCTTATGATTTTAATAAACTTGATTGTTTTAATTCATTAGATACATAACGATAAGGATATTTAGATATAGAAAAGTATTATATATATAAATTTATATTTAATAATTGAAAAAAAATATATATATATTTATAAAACAAAAATTTAAAAAAAAATATTAAATAAAAAAATTCTCATATTTTTTTACATAAATTAATTTTATAGAATAATAATAAAAAAAAAAATTGTAACATAAATATATTTATTATATATAAAAAATATTATTTATATATAATTATATATATATATATATATATTATTTTTATTAATTAAAAATATTACATATTTGTATTTTATTATATATTTATATATATATTTTTATATATTTATATTTCTTTTATATATATATTTTAATTAGTATTTAATTGTTTATGAAAGAACAAGGTAGAGAATTGAATAAAAATTAATTGATTTGTTTATTTAAAAAAATTGGAAACGAATATAATATTAATTATAATTAATTTAGTGAATTATTAATTCCTATTGAATAATCTTCTATGCAATAATAAATAAATACTAGTACAAATAAAAATTATATAATATAAAAAATATATATATATATATATATATATATATATATATATTAATTTATATATTTTTTATATACTTTATAAAGCAAGTCAATATAATTTACCTAAATTATATTAATTTAATTAAGAATCCAATTAATATTATTAAAAATCAGCTTAATTCTGTCATACATCTCCTAACAATAAAAGAAAATAAAATGTTCCTAATTCAGTAAAGTTTGCAGCTTCATAAAGATCTCCTTATCATACTCCTAATAAAATATTCGGTACTACAAGCCGATTATAGTAATTATTAAGTTCCTAATTAAAAAATAATAGTAATAATAATAAAAGTATTACAAATAATAATATATAAAGAAGAAAATATATGTAAGGAAACGAAGAGGAATATTTAGTTAGAAGTTTAAAGGAATTTATAATTATAGATAAAGATGCTGATGAATTAAAAACTTAACTTATCTTAATGCCTGATTTTAATTCCGAAGATGCTTTTAGAATTTTCGATAAAAAAGGCAAAGGTTTTGTATCTAAAATTGAATTAGAAATTAACTTAAATGATATAGGTATTTATCCTACCAAGGAAGAAATGATACTATTTTTTAAAAGATTTGATAGAGATAATGATGGTCTTTTGAAGTTTTCTGATTTCTAGTACGCTATATTACCTTTTAGTGAGGAATATAAAGTTTTAGGGATGTCAAAAATGCCAAATTTTAGAAACCCGGATGATGGTTTGGCTAATTTCTAGGTCGAAACTGCTGTATGTTTCAAAAAATTGATTAATAGACTATTTTAAGGAGAAGTAGAAGGTGAATATATAAGATAAAAATTAAAAAAAAGATAATTTTTTTCTATACATGAAGCTTTTTAAACATTAGACTATCAAGATAACGGTTTTATTACGATAGATGATCTTAAAAATATTCTATATGAATATGGAATATTTGTAAGTTAAAATGATCTATTTTTACTTTTTTAAAGATTTAATAAAAGTTAAAATTAAAGAATATAATATCCAGATTTTATGAATGAATTAACATAAAAAATACAATGATATATATATATAGATATAATTAATATATATATATATATTTATATATATATATATATATTTATTTATTTATATAAATATATTGTTTTCTATTCATTCATATTCAAAATCATCTTCATCGTATTAATTATAATTATTTTTTAAGACTATATTATTATTTTTTATTTTTTTTTAGACTTCATATTACGCATTTTTTATAATATCATCATCTGCTGCTATAAATTTAATATTAATTAAACTATTATTATTATTAATATTTTATTATTATTATGAATTTTTTTTATTTTCATTTTTTGTTTTACTAAATATATCTTCGAATTTAGCTTTTTTAATATTATCAATATTTATAAATAATTCTCGTAGTTTTTTTTCGTCTAGTTTATTCATTTTCTTACTCTTTAGCATTGCATCAACTGGATCATCTTCATTCATTAATTAATCATTTCTTCTTTTATTCCTTTTTTTGCCTTCTTTTAGTTCATCTTTTGGATTTTTTCTTGATTATTCCCTTAACCATGCGTCATTCATTTAATGCCACATTTTACTTTTCATTTAATGTTCATCATTAGATAGTATAAATTAATTTATTTCCTAATCGCTTAATTCTGAGAGATTTTCGCATATATTTAATTATAAGAAATTATTTATACTGGAATTTCCTTCTATTTTTTCTATATTTTTTTCAATGAAATTTGCTGTATCTTCTACTTATTATATATCTCCTTCTGTTATTTATTCTTATATTTATTAATCTTATATTTATATACTATTAATATTAATTTATTAAACATTATTATTATTATTATTATTATTATTATTATTATTAATTTATTATATATTATTATTAATTTTTAAATATTATTAATTTCTTTAAAAGGCTTTCTAAAAAGCCGGCGGATCGCATTCTTTTCCTAAGCTTTCAATATCTTAAACTTCCTCAAATTTTTCCCTTGTTAATTTCGCAACATCAGTTTCTTTGAATTCTTCTAATCTTTTCCTTAAAGTCTCCTCACATACATACACTACTTTACAAACTTCACTAGTAGTCCTTTTAAATCCATGCATTCTAGCTGAAATAAGAATAGCCGCACCACACAGACTAGAAGGACGTCTTCCATGAGACATCCAGTCCAATTTCATCCTTTTTAGTAGTTTAATAGCAGTTTCTTTAACTAAATCTACTTTTTCGTTAAAGTCTAGCATTTTGCAAAACCTAGGGATATATATAGATGGGTCTATTGAGGGTAGTTTTTCATTTAGTTTAAGTGTTACATTTAGAAATTTGGCCAGTTTACGGTAACAACGTGCTAATTTAAATAAGTTTATACATAATTTATCCGAAAAATCCATAAGTAGGAAGGGTGCTTTTTAAAATCTTAAAGCTATATATAATGCAGCTGCTGAGTAATGATGTATATTAGACCCATGGTCTAAAAAATAAGCCTTATATGCAAATTTCATAATCCTTAATGGAGTTTCTCCTATTAAATCTAAATATTCGGGATATTCTTTTTTAATTTTTAAATCATTTATCATAGTAGTTATATAATCTTCGGCTTTTTACATATTGTCTCTACCTAAATTTAATAATTCGTGGGTTTATCCAGTTATTTTTGTGTCTATAAATGTAGGATTATTATCAAAAGCATCATCAGATATCACAAATCCGCATTTACGGCAACTTTAAAAAGCTGAATCAGTATCTGTATCATAATTTGTATATCCACATTTTGAACAAATTGTTTTTTAGGAAGATTTTTATGAGAATTATTTTAACATTTTTAACTAATATGTGAATTTATATATAAATATATATATATATATATATATATATATATTATATATATATTTATATATATGTATATTTTTATTGTTATTTTTTCTTATATATATAATATTTATTTACTTTTTTTTTATAATAGTAAAATTTATAATATTTTTTTTTTAAATAAAAAAAACATAAAAAAAGTATTATTGGTATCTTATTTTTTATAAAATGCATTTTATGTTACTTTTTATCTTTTATATTTTCTTTAAAATATTAAATTGTCTATATTATCTAAATTAATCCGATTGGTATTTTAAAGAATATACAAATGAAACAAATCTTTATTCGAATTTTATGAGAGCTTCTATTCCTTCTACAGTGCATCTAGATTTATCAGACAATTAAATAATGCCTGATCCTTATTTCAGAGATAACTTACTCTAATATTATTAATTAGAATATAAAGATTGGGTTTATACAACATTATTAGATACTTAAAAAATATAAGAGATATTTTAAAAATAAAATTATGATTAAATTGAATTAGTTTTTGAGGGTTTAGATACTCATGCAGATGTTTATTTAAATTAAAATTTAATACTTTAAACTAATAATATGTTCAGAACATGGAAAATATATAACTTTGAAAAATATATAAATTAAAATATTAATATTACTATTATATTTAAAAGTTCCGTTAAACATGATTTAGATGAAGAAAAAAAACTACTACCAATAAAACTGCCTTATAATTATACTTTTTCAAGAAAGGCAGCATATTAATATGGTAAAAAAAATATATAAATATAAAAAAAAAATTATATATATGTAAGTATTTAAATTTATATATAAAAAAAAATAAAAAAATAATTTATATTTATAAATATATAAATTAATATATAAATATAAATATATATATATATATATTTATATATATATACATATATGTATATATATATATATTTTTTTTTTTATATATATTTATATAAATTATTATTTTAGGATGGGATTGGGGACCTAGATTAGTTACATGTGGCATATGGAAAGATGCTTATTTACAATTTATAAAAAAAGGCAAAATACTCAATTCTCATTTTAGAACTTTATAATTAACAAACATTTATTAAAAAAATGGGACTGCATAAAAGGCTTTAATGGAATTAAATATAGAATTACATTTACTAACTTCTTATAACAATTATTCTATATAAGTATTTTGTGAAAATTAAATAATTATACAGAAATAATTAATTTAATAAAATTTAAAAAACATATATTAATTTGAAATTTAAAATCCTATATTATGGTGGTGTAGAGGTTTAGGATAGCCTTTTCTTTATAAATTTTATGTTTATTTGCTTTTTAATAATTAAGTTATTGATTTTTAATAATATAGCATAGGTATAAGATAAATAAAGGTATTATAAAGATAAGATTTATTAGGAAACGGAACTTCTTTTATGTTTTATTTAAATGATAATTATGTTTTTATGAAAGGATCTAATTATATTCCTCCTGATATGTTTATGCCTAGAGCTTAAAAAAATCCAGAAATTTATATGAAAAATATTTAAAATGCAATTAAAGCTAACCATAATATGATTAGATTGTGGGGAGGAGGGTTATTTTTAAATTATTATTCATTTTAAAAAAAATAAAATAAAAATATATTAGTTAATTTGAATACGATATATTTTATGATTTATGCGATTAAAATGGAATTCTTATATGGCATGATTTAATGTTTGCGTGTGCAATGTATCCTTCAAATAATTAGATTTTGTAAAATATTGAAAAAGAATTATTGATAATTTATTAAGATTAAGAAATCAGTATAAATTATATATATATGTATATATATATTTAAATATTTAAAAATATATATTAATATATATATATATATATATATATATATATATATATATATATTTATATTTATATTAATATATTTATATATATATATTCTTTTTTTGATAAAATAGTCCTTCTATTGCTTTATGGAATGGTAATAATGAAGTGTATATAGAATGGTTAGAATCAGTATACAATATAATTTTTTTATAATATTTTTATGTATATTTTAGAGATGGTAAGATAATCTTACAGATACTCAAAGATAAACTGTTTGGGGATGGTATATTGATATATTTAATATAACAATAAGAAAGACTATTTTAGATTATGATCCTGATACATTTTATTGGCCTACATCACCATCTAAATCTTCTATACATTAATATTCTATAAATTAAGGGGATATTCATTTTTGGAGTATTTTTTTTTTAAAAAAAAAAATAATTTTATATATATTAATTTATATTCTAATAATATAATAATAAATATATATATTTTAATATATATTATATATATTAATTTATATATATATATATATTATATATTATATATATATATATATATATATATATATATATATATATATTAGATGTATGGGCAAACATATCCTAGATAGAAGATTATAATTCTTTCGTTGGAAGATTTAATAGCGAATATGGGATGCAAGGTATATTATCTTATTAGTCTATAAGAAAATTCACATTTGAATAAGATAGACATTTAAATTCTACTATATTATAATATCATGAAAGGCATGTTTCTGGTTGGCCAAATCTTTAATTTTATCTTTAAAACTATTATCATGAACCTAAAGATCTATAAACCTATATATATGCTAGTTAGAGTATGTAAGCTTATGCCATATAGACTGCTATACTAGCTTTAAGAAGTAAAAAAACCGTATTGTAGTGGATCTTTATATTGGTAAAATTTTAATATATTTTTATATTTATATACACGATTAATTTTTTTTCAGGTAATTAAATGATGTTTGGCCAGTAGTTTCTTGGTCTTCTGTTGATTTTTACGGAAATTGGAAAGGATTGCATTTTAGGGGAAAAAATCTATATGAAGGATTAATTGGTGTTTTAGAACAATAATAAAATGATTTTTTTAATTTAAAGATTATTAACGATTTTTATGAAGATTTTAAAGTAAAAATAAGCTTAAGTATTATTAATAATGAAGGGTTTGAATTGGTAAAAATATTAGATTAAAATGTATTTTTTATAGAGGAAAATAGTAATGTTTGTATATTTAAAAATATGGACTTAATTAGTTAATATTAGAAGAATTAAATTGGTGCTTATTTATAAATTTAATATGGAGAAGAAAAAGACTTTTTTTGGGAAAAAATATTTTATTTTGTCAAACCGAATGAGTTTTTATATAAAAAAAGCTCAGTTTAGGTACATTTAGATAGTTTTGGTAAAAATATTATTGTCTCAAGTGATAAATTAACAAGAGATATTTATATTTTATGTGATAATGAAGATGAAATTGAAGGTTTATCAAATAATTATTTCGATTTAGTACCTGGTAAAGTAGTTAGTTTGAAATATGAATAAAAAGATGTTTGTTAGAATATTAAATATTATTCCCTTAATTAATTATTTTTAGATAATAATACAATATAAAAAGGAGTTTATTGATAAACAAAAAATAATTGATATAAACTAATTATTTATATATAATAAAAAAATATATATTATTTGATTATCTTAATCATAAATATATAAACTAGAAAAAATAAACAATTAAACAAACAAAAAATTAAAGGGGAAAAAAAAAAACCTTAATAAATTTATTATTAAAATATTTCGTTTTTTTTTTTAAAAAAAAAGAAGGAAACAAAACAAAAAACATTAAATTTTTCTTATTAAAAATTGCATTTTTTTTATAATACAAAATCAATAAAAAGGATTAAATAATATCAAAATCTATATATAGGCATATATTTTTAATTTTCTCTTTTCATATTACTATTATTATTTATAAATCATGTAATTTTTCAAGAATTATGTAACCTCTAAGTATTAAATCTTGAACTTTAACCGCAAAAATCTTACAAGAAAATTTAAAATATATAAAAACTAGTAAATTTCTAAGCCCTGAAAATCTATTATTGGTTTAAAATATTCTACCCATTTAGTAGATTAAATAAAAAAAAGTTCTAAAATACAAATTAAAGATTTAAACATTAACCCATAATATAATTTTTTTCTGGACTATTTTTATGAAAGGAAAAAAACTAAAAGAATTTTTACCAATTTAAGAAAAAAAAAAAAAAATGTTTTTAAGAAATTCTCGTTTTATTTTTAAATACTTTCATCTGATATTAATATATATTAAAAAAAAGATAAAAATATAAAAAATTGTAAATGAAAATAATAATAAATGAAATCAAAAAAATTATTATCGAAATTATTTTTCAAAGCTTTGAATTCCGGATATATTTAAAAATTTAAATAAATTAAAGATTATTATTACACTAATGAAATATAGTTTAATTACTACAATTTTTATAAATAGAAATAAACTATATATATGTTAACGATTTTATAATATTATATATATATAGATATAAGTTTAAAATTTTTTGATTTTATTTCAATATTTATTAATGGTATTCAGTTTTTTTATTATTCTGTTGGAGATAGAAATATTATTATATTTATTTGGAATAAAAAAACAAATAAGGGTTTATGAATATTATATATAATATTAAGTTATATTTTATTTATGTTATATATTTATTTTATTACTAAATATAATCTTATTTTATTTATTAAAAAAAATGTTTGAATAAACCCCCTCAAATTTTATATTTATTTAAATATATTAATATAATAGAAGGTTTGAACAAAATTTTGATTTATCGAAAGCAACTATGAATAATCCACTTTATATTTATTTTTAAAATAAGAATTATTCAACTCTCATTTTTCGAATATAATATATTTATTGTTTATTTTTTTATTTTTTTATAAAATATGAAAATTATTTATTTATAATAATTTTTAATTATAATGAAAATATTATGGTTTTTTTTCAATTTAATTATTAATTTTTATTTAAAAAAAAGAATATTAAATAATTTTATCAAATTTAATTTTTTCTTGCATCTACAAATATATCATTAACGCCCAAATAAATTTAAAGAATATTTTTTTTTTCTAATAAAGAATTATAATAAATATAATTATTTAAATCTTAATTATTTAATCCACAATCCTTATAAAATATATATATATATATATATATATATATTTATATATTTATATATTTATATATTTTATATGTATTTATATGATTACACTTTTAACTTTCTAATATGCTTAATTTTCACTTTATAAAATAAATTAGATTGCTTTTGATTGTGCTTCCTATTTTATTTTAAAGGCGTCTGCATCTGCTTAGGCATTTATATATTATATTTTAGAGTTATTTTCTGATATCATGACATCTAATTCTTATTAAATTTAAATTGTTTATTTTTCGAATTCCTTCATTGTTTTATATTAAGTTTCAACTTGAGTTTAAACTATTGATTATTCATATTAATCAGGAAGATCTATTTTTAAAAGAGCAAAGAATTTACAATTCGCATGTGCTTTTAATAATTCTGTGTTTAATTATTGTTTCATTTCATTTACTATTTTTTATCTTTCTTACCAATATTAAGGCGCTTAATAATTACCGGCAGATTACAAAATTATATCTCTTGCTATTTTTATAAATGTTTATTCATAAAATAAATTATAGTTTTAAAATAAGGAATATAATTCACCCCTATTATATATATATATATATATATATATTATATATATATATATGTATATATATTCAATATTTACTTTTATAATTAATATTAAAATGTAATATGTAAAACTAATGCAAGTCCTTCAGCTGTTCTAGTTTATAAAGGTTTGTTTGAATTAGAATATTCTGAAAAATCTATACTTTGGACTATACTTGGAAATTCTACAAAATAGTGTATTGGACCTACAAAATAACGACCTGAATCATATACATAAGATTCACATTTCTTTGATATACGGTTACATTTTAATCCATATTTTGTTATATCTACTGTATCCCAACAGGTTAATATAAATATTATCATGAATACTAGTGTTCCTACAGCAGTAGGTATTATATATTTTACATAATCCATATTTTTTATATTTTTAAAAATAAATTTTTTATTTTTAGTATTATTATTTTTTAAATATTAAAAAAAAAAACAACATTGACATTATATTTTTTAAAATATAAAATATTTTTTTTTTTAATTAAAAAAAAATATAATTTTAAAAATTAAAGAAATTTTAGATTAAAGATATTTCTAATATAATATGAAAAAAATATAATTATTATTTAAAAATAAAAATTGTCTTTTAATTATAAAATATATACAAATAATAATATATTATATAAAATTTTAATATAAAAATATATATATATATTTAATATTTTCATAAAAGAACATATTAAATTTTTTATAATTAAACTAAAAGGAAAAATATATCAAGAAAAATAAAAAAGCAAAGCTAATGTAATTATATAATATTAATTTTAAATATATTTGAATATTAAATAAAATATTTATAAATTAAAAAAATATTGTATATATAATTTAAATTATATAAAAAATGAATTATAATAGTATAATTAAAATAGTTATATACAAAATATTATAATGTATATATAAAAATAATTAAAAAAATAAATAATATATACAATAATATAATTTCATATTCATATATTTTATTTATATCTTTTTATAAAATATAATTCTTATATTATGAATTAAATCTTATAATTAATAATAAATTAAAATATTTTTTATTATTTAATATTATATATTTAATATAAATTATAAATTATTTATATAAATAAATATTTCATAATTATTATTAGTTTTATTAATAATATTATCTATATTTTTAATTTTTTTAATTTAATTTATTATATAAGACATATATTTAATTATATTAAAAAATAAATATTATAGAAATTATTTTTTTTTTAAAAAAAAAATTATATTATAAAAAAATACATTTACTAATTTTAGGATAAAAAATTAATAATTAAATATAATAATATATATAAATATATATATAATTTTTTATATATATTTTTTTTTAATTATTTAGATTATAATTATTATTAAGATGTCTTATCAATTTTCATTATAAAATTTTAAAATTTATTTATTAAATTTATTAATTAAAAACAATAAGTTTATATTTAAATTTAAATAATTATTTAATTAATAATTATTAAAAAAAATGGTTTATTTTTTTATTTTTAAAAAAATATTTTGATAATAAATATAGTATTAGATTATATAAATATAAAATTTAAGTAAATATTTTTTTATTATATTTAAAAATATGAATAATTAATAAACATATATATTTTATATTTATAATTATATATTTATATATATATATAATATTATTTAATAATAAATCAAATTAATAATTCTTTATAAAATCTTTAATATTATTTTATTTATATAAAAAAAAAATTATATATTTATTTATTATATACATCAATTTTTATTATATAACAATTAATATACATAAAATATTTATATATAAATTTTTTATATTATTAATCTAATTATCTATTTTATATGATAATCAAATATAAAATTTATTAGTTAAAATTTTAATTGATTGTTACAATATTTTAGTTTATTTATTATTTAAGTAATCATATTTACCATTTTTTTTTTTTTTAAGATAATTAATACGATAATTATTTTTTTACTAATTTACATTAACACTTTTTAAGACTTAATTTTATTCTAATATATAATTTCTATCACTTAAAATTTTATCATTTTTTTTATATATTTAAAAATTTTAACTATTCTAATTATTTTTACTAAAAGATAATGCCCTATGAAATTTTTTCTTATTTTGTTCTAATTTATTATCTTATAAAAGAACGTTTTTCTCTATTTTATTATTTTAAACAACAATTTTTAAAGAATTTTTTTTTATTTGAATATTTTTTATTTATTTTATTTATTTTTTCTCTTGTAAAATCTTGTTTACATTAATAGTAATATTCTATTACATATTATTTATTAAAGGTTTATTTTTTTTTTAATTTAAGGACAAACTTCTATTTCATTGTTTTATATTCTAAGTTTAATTAACTGATGTATTAAAACTTAATTATTTCTAGTTTTTCTAATAAAAATCATTTACTTTTTCTTCTATATCACTTTTGAATGAATTTTAATCCTCATATATAAAATTTGAAGAGTTTATTGAATTAATTTCTATTTCTTTTATTTTATTGTTTTGTATATTGTCATATATTATTTTATTTTTTTCTGAGTTTTTGGCTGTTTTTTCTTCGTCATCTACTTCTTATATTAAATCCAATTGTAAGAAATTTTATTTAAACATTTTTATTTAAATATAATAATTTATTTGAATAAAAATTATATATATATATGTTCGCTTATTTTTTATTTATTTTTTTATAAAATAAAATAAAAAAAAAAATTTAAAATATAGAAGTTACTTTTAATATATATATATATAAAAAAAAAAATTGAATATATAATATTTTTTTTATAGAATTAATTTTTTTTTTTTTTTGGTTTTTTTTTTTTTTTTTTTTTTTTTT